CAGCAGCAGCAGCAGCAGCAGCAGCAGGAGATGCGCACGCCACCGACGCTGTCCAATTTTCTTCGCTTTGCGTTCGGCGCCGACACGACGGGCGAGCGCATGCAGCAGCCAGACGATGAGCACGTCCACGACGACGGCATGGGCGGTGCCGGTAGCGCTGCCGATGGGCGACGCTTCAACCACGACAATCGCGGCACCGGCACCTACCACCAGCCGCCGCAATCGCCGCAGGCGCGCACCGACGAGCTGCCGCCCGAGCTCGCGGCGCTGCGCAATCTCTTCACGGGCCTGTTTGGCGAGCCGGGTGCGCCGGGCGGCGGCGGAGGGTCGCTGCTCGACGTGCTGGCGGCCGGTGCGCATGGCGGGCCGCGCGGGCAGTGGGGCGACTACGTGCTCGGCCAGCAGGGGCTCGACGACATCATCAGCCAGCTCATGGAGCAGACGCAGGGATCCAACGCCCCACCTCCCGCGACAGACGAGGTCATTGAAAAGCTCGAGCGGTTCACGCGAGCGGATACGGAGAGGATCAAGCGCGCAAAGAACCAGGACTGCCCCACGTGCAAGGACGACTTTCTCCCCACGCCCGGCGAGGAGAAGCAGGAGGGGGAGGAGACGGATCAGCAGGATGAGCTGGTGTCCATGCCGTGCGCGCACATCTTTCACGAGGACTGCTTGGTGCCCTGGCTCAGGCTGCACGGCACGTGTCCCGTGTGCAGGGTGAGCATCGCCAAGCCGCGCGGTGAGGGTGATGCTGGCGCTCCAGGTGGCAGTACGGATGCGGCAAGGGGAGATGCGCAAGAAGGGGCCGCAGCGGATGCAGCGGCGACCGTCCCCGGCGGATGGCCTTCACCGCCCAATCCCTTCAGCGCGTTCTTCAACACGGCTTTCGGCAGCGGCAATGGCAACGGCAACGGCAACACGCTTTCCGGCAGCGGCAATGGCTATGGCAATGGCAGTGGCAACGGCAATGGCAATGGCAACGTCGGTGGGGATGCGCGCGTGTCGCACGACTCGCGCGGGGCGACGACAACCACGTTCCAGACGCAGCCACCTGCGTCTACCACGATCACGTCCACCGTGTATCCGTCGCCGCCCGCTACGGCTGGAGGCACGAGCAGCGGGGTGGAGGTCAACGCGATCGTGTCGAGTCCGCCCTTGGTCGACGACCGCGACGACTTCTTCCCGCCACAGCAGGAGGGTGAGAGTAGGGATGCGATGCGCGATCGGATTCGACGTGCGACCGAGGCGCGCATGGGGGAACCGACGTTGGAGCCGGATGAGCTGGACTAGCGATGCCCCACACACAGGCTCAATGCAAACGCGATTTTTTCGAATGTCTTGTTTTGTCTTGTGGGGGATGGGGGGGGTTTAATCGTCATCTTCTTCTCTGCGGTAGGCGACCATTGCGTCTACACGGTGGACGTGGGTGCTGAAGCTGCGTAGGCGGACTTGTTCGGCCTGGCCCTCTGCTATCAAGCGGGCGTCCGAGTCGATCCAGTCGGCGGGTGCTTCGGTGTCCTTGTTTGTGTAGGCGAGGATTTGAAATGCACATGGCTCGTCGAGCACGGGTAGAAAGGTGCAGCTGGCGGTGATTTGTTTGATCAGCGCGGCGATTTCCGCCCTCACCTGAGCGTCCGTCTTCTTTACCCCCACACCCTTTTCTCCCTCGTTCGATTCGGGGATGGGTTGATTGATGACTTCGACGTCGAACTGCCATCGCTCCCTCGTCTCCCCCGAGTCCTTTTCGACAATCACCACCACCAACCGCGTAACATCGCCCCTCTCCAACCACACTTTGAGTTGCGCCATGGCTGTATCGAGGTACTCTGCCAGTCCGTCATCGGTGGTGACAAGCATTTGCAGGCCGTACTTTTTCACCGTCTTGAAGTCGTCCGGCGCATAAATGTTGCGCTGGTACAGGATGGACTGCACCGAGTAGTTGAAGAACTCGTGCACGAGCGCCGTGGATCCCTTGAGCGTAAGGTGCGTGCGTGTCGCCGCTGCTGCCTGTGCCGTCGCCATGTCGAGTATATTCTGCTAGGCCGCGGTCGATGCCGAGTCTCGATGGTATAGTGTAATCGGCGGGATGGAGAGGTGGTCGAGGTGTGGGTGGTGAGGAGCAATGCGTCGAGATCAACACTCGTATGCAACTCAGCACCACCCGCCGCCGCGTGCGCCGCCAAAGTAACACTCCAGCCCTTTTCGGCCGGAAATCGTGTCGTTCCGGGTCACGTGTTTCTGAGATTATTGGACTTGTTAGGTCGTTAAAGCTGCTTGGCGCTGAGAAGCCACTTGGGATCCAGCGCACCACCTGCGCACACATCGGTGCACGGTGAATCTCCGGCCAACTGCAACGGCGGCACAAGCTGACAGCCGCGATGAATTGAACACCATTCCCACACTGAGGCACTTGGAAAGGAGGCCAAGGCATGAAAGGGCAGCCTCCAACGATTTTGCGGGCCAGCGCGACGGAATACACGGCAAGCTCGCCGCGCGCACAACTTCATACCAAAAGACCCGCGGGCGTGTGGAGGGAAGCGGGCGGGGCATCTGGCGACTCGACGTTGGCATCAAGGCGAGCTTCCCACGCCGCGTCCCCACCAGCCCCAGGCTCGACGTCGACGATCTCGAATGCGAGCCAGATTGAGTCGCGGCTCGTAAGATCCAAGGGGCTATGGGAACGAGTTGCTGGCTGAGAGAAAAAAAAAGGTCGAGTGCGGGGGGAGGGGGATCCCCCCACCTGTGCCGCTGTGCCGCTGTTGGCTTCCCGTGCGATGCTCGGCTGCCCTGTGCGTCCTCGTTCCTGCAGCTCATAAGAAGGGCCACTCGCAATCGCTTCCATCACCCCATCATCCATCTTTCCCCTTCTTCCCTTCTCCCCTTCTCCCTCCCTTGCTGATCACCATGTCGCCTGCACCTACGTCCGACTCGGCCACGGTCGACTTTATCTCGGCCTCGACGCTGCCGTGCATCATCGACAATGCGGCCTACACCACCTCGCACACGTACGCCGTGTACCGTACGGACCAGTCGTCTGACTCGGAGCGCCAAGTGACGCACCACGTCCACGCCGTCTCTCCCGCCGAAGCCAAACTCGCAGTGGACTCCGCTGCGGCTGCGTTTCCGGCCTGGAAGGCTACGCCCGTATCGCGCCGACGCGAGATCATCCTCAAGGCCGCCTCGCTGCTCCAGGAGCGCATCCCGCAGTACGCGGTGAACACCATGCAGGAGACGGTGGTATCGCGCGGTCTGGCCGGCTTCGAACTCGGCGTGCTCGGCCTAGGCCACCTTACTGCTGCTGCCGAATCCATGACGGCTGCGCTCAAGTCCGAGATGCTTCCCCCCGGCGAAGACGGGGCGATCAAGATCGTCCGTCGCGAACCGTACGGTGTCGTGCTAGCCATTGCACCCTGGAATGCCCCCTTCGTGCTGGGGCTCAGGTCGGTGCTTTATGCGATTGCAGCTGGAAACACGGCGGTGCTCAAGACGTCGGAATTCGCACCGCGCGTACACCTCTCGGTTGCGCAGATCCTCATCGATGCCGGCCTGCCCAAGGGCGTGCTTAACGTCGTACACGTGGATCCGGCCCATGCGGCTGAGGTGACCGAGGCGCTGATTGCGCATCCGCGCGTGCGCAAGGTCAACTTCACCGGCTCCACCCGTGTGGGTCGAATCATCGCCGCCACTGCCGCCAAGCACCTCAAACCCGTCGTACTCGAACTCGGCGGCAAAGCTCCGCTCATCGTCCTGGAAGATGCCGATCTCGACCTGGCCGCAAACGGTATCCTCTTTGGCGGCTACCTCAACAGCAACCAGATCTGCATGGCAGTCAACAATGTCTTGGTCCACAAGAATGTCGCTCCCAAACTCCAGCAAACACTCACCGCCATGTTTGATCAGAATCGCGAGGTGTTTACCGCCAAGTTGGCACAGGGCATGGAGGACAAACACGCCATGAGGTCGCTCTTCAACAAAGCCTCGGCCGACCGTCTGCAGGTGCTCTACACCGACGCCGTCTCCAAGGGCGCCTCGGTCGTTGTTGGTCAAGCCTCCTTCGAGGGTGCACTCGTTCAACCCATTGTGCTCTCGCCCGTTACGCCCGAAATGTCCATCTACACCCAAGAGACCTTCGGCCCAGTGCTGTCGCTCATCACCTTCGACAGCGTCGACCAGGCCGTGCAGATCGCAAACACCCCCGAATACGGCCTCGCCGCAAGCATCTACTCGACAAACACAATGCTCGCCCTCGAAATCGCCGACCGCATCGATGCAGGTCAGGTGCACATCAACGCCCAGCCCGTCCATGACGACCCGCAAATGCCACACGGAGGCTGGAAGAACTCTGGCTACGGAAGGTTCAACGGCCCAGAGGGCATCCGCGAGTTCACCCAGACAAAGGGCATCACCCTCCAACACGGCCACCCCACCCCCTTCCACTATGTCTAATCACACCCCC